TTTAGTTGTAATTCCAGTTTGTTCCTGAGAGCATGTCTGTGTACCATCCACTTACTCCGCCACCACTGATAATTCCCTCAATATCCTGTACTTTTCTGAGTACAGTTCTTTTACCTTCTTGGTTATGTTTATTCCCAGGTATCTTATTTGTTTTGTTGAAATGGTAAATGGGATTGTTTGTTTAGTTTCTCTTTCTGAGAGTTCGTTATTCATGTATGAAAAAGCCATAGATTTTCGGATGTTAATTTAGTATCTTACTACTTTTCTGAATTCATTTATTAGATCTAGATTTTTTTATGGCACCTTTATGGTTTTCTATGTACAATACCATGTCATCTATGAATAATGACTGTTTTACTTTCTTCTTTTCAATTATGATTTTTTACTTTTTCTTGTCTGATCACTGTGGCTAGGACTTCCAGTACTATGTTGAATAAGAATGGTGAAAGTGGGAAACCCTCTCTTGTTCCTGTTCTTAGGTTAAACACTTTTAGTTTTGCCCATTGAGTATGATGTTGGCTGTAGGTTTGTCCTTTAAGGCCTTTATTATGTTGAGGTATGATCCCTTTATTCTGACTTTGCTGAGAGTTTTTATCAAAAATGGGTGCTAGATTTTGTTAAATGCTTTTTCTGCATCTATTGGTATGATCATGTGATTTTTATCTTTAATTTTGTTTATGTGATGTGTCACATTTATTGATTTGTGAATATTGTACCAGCCTTGCATCCCTGGAATAAATTCCATTTGGTCATGGTGTATGATCTTTTTAATATATTGCTGGATCTAATTTTGCTAATGTTTTGTCAAGAATTTTAGCATATATGTTCAACAGGGATATTGGCCTATAATTTCCTCTCTTTTTAGTGTCTTTGTCTAGTTTTGGAATTATGATAATGTGGCCCCATAAAAATAGATTGGACGTCTTCTTTACTCCTCATTTTTTTTTAGAATAGTTTGAGGAGGATAGGTGTTAGTTCTTCTTTGAATGTTTAGTAAAACTTCCTTGTCAAGCCACCCAGTCCAGGACTTTTGTTTGCTGGGAATTATTTTATTACTGATTCAATTTCATTAGTTTTTATCAGTCTATTCAGGTTTTCTGATTCTTCCTGGTTGAGTTTTGTAAGATTGTATAGATCTAGGAATTTGTCCACTTCACCCAGATTGTCCAATTTATTGGCATATAGTTGTTCATAGTATTTTCTTACAATCCTTTGTATTAAGTTGTTGCTTCACTTCTTTCATTTCTGATTTTATATATTAGGGTCCTCTCTGTTTCTTGTTGAGTCTGGCTAAAGGTTCATAAATCTTGTGTATCTTTTCAAAGAATCAGCTCTGAGTTTCATTGATCTTTTATATTGTTTTATGTCTCTATGTCACTATTTCCTCTCTGATCTTTATTATTTCCTTTCTTGTACTTACTCTGGGCATTTTTTATTGTTCTCTTTGTAGTACTTTTAATTACAGGGTTAGATAGCTTATTAGAGCTTTTTCTTGTTTCTTGAAGTTGGCCTGTAATTCTATGAACTCCCTTCCCACTACTGCTTTCACTTTGTTCTATATATTTGGTGTTGTTTTATGTTCATTATAATTTTTTTTCAGGAAGTTTTTTATTTCTTCTTTTATCTCATTGGTAACCTATTCATCCTATATAATAAAAGCCCAGCGACCAAAATGGTGGAATGACCAGAATGACCAGAGACCAGAATAACCATGGCCCCTTACCCCGGCTGGCCCTATCCCCCAGGGAGCAGTTAGGGATGATCAGGCAGCAGGCAGAGGTGATTAGGGGCGATCAGGCAGGCAGGCAGAGTGGTTAGGGGCAATCAGACAGGCAGGCTAGTGCTTAGGGAGTGATGTGGCAGGCAGGCAAGTGATTAGGGGTGATGAGGCAGGCAGGCAGAGGCAGGGGTGATCAGGCAGGTAGGTGAGTGGTTAGGGGCAATGAGGCAGGCAAGTGAGTGGTTAGGGGTGATGAGGCAGGCAGGCGAGTGGTTAGGGGTGATGAGGCAGGCAGGCAAGCAGTTAGGAGCCAGTGGTCCCAGATTGTAAGAGAGTGAAGGCCGAGCTGAGGCCCACACCCCACGCCCCATGCATGAATTTCGTGCACCGGGCCTCTAGTTGTTTAATAACATGCTATTTGGCCTCCATGTCTTTGAATATGTTTGAGTGTTTTTATTTAGTTGATTTCTAGTTTCATGCCATTGTGATCCAAGAAGATGTGTTATATGATTTCAATCTTCTTGAACTTGTAGAGACTTATTTTGTATCCTAACATGTGGTCTGTCTTTGAGAATGCCCATGTGCACTTGAGGAAAATGTATATTCTATAGTTTTGGGGTGAAATGTTATATAAATGTCAGTAAAATCCATCTGATCTCGTGTGTCATTTAAAGTTGCTGTTTTCTTGTTGCTTGTAGCTTGCTTCTTAAAACATTAATAACTTGCTATAGCTGCATAGCATTTCATTTTGAAGGCATACTTTGTAATTTATCTACTCAATATTAATAGGCACTTATGTAATTCCTGCTGTCACAGAAATGCAAGTAGTGAATATCTTCTGCAGGTGTGTGCAAAGTCTACAGCAAAAATTGTAGGCATAAAATTAAAGAGCCAGAAAATTAGTAACTTTTTGTTAGGTATTTCCAAATTTTCTTAGATGAGAGTGTTTCCAGTGTACAGTTAAAATAAACTTGTATAACAATACCAATTTCCTCATAATGCCACCTACATAGTTTATCATAGAATGTTTTAATCCTTAATGGTTTTTGTAATTACCATTTACCTCTGTATTTAGTAATCATGCTTTATAGTTACTGAGTATTATATTTGGGCTAAGTGTAGATTATTTTTCATAACTTGAATATTGTAGGGGAAAATTTCAGTGCAAGAAATAATACTGGAGCTAAAGTATTTGTAGATATTTCCAACAGTCTATTATTGGAAATTTTCAATAATCAGTGACATTTCTCTATAGCCAAAACTTTGGAAATGGGCCTGTAATACTTAGTGATGAGATTTGATGAGTCTTGCTAAAGGTTCATCAATTATTGTGGCCTGGCCCGGTGGCTCAGTTGGTTGGAGCATCATCCCATAAATAAAAGGTTGCAGGTTTGATTCCCAGTCAGAGTACATACCTAGGTTGCAGGTTTGATCCCCAGTTGGCAACTCTCTCTCTTCTCTCTCTCTCTCTCTCTCTCTCTCTCTCTCCTTCCCTCTCTCCCTCTCTCCCTCCCACCCTCCCCCATCCCTACCTTATTCTCTCCCTCTCTTCCCCTTTCTCTCTCTCTGAAATCAATAAACATATCCTCGGGTAAGGATTTAAAAAAAAGTTATTGTGTAGGAGACTATATTAAACTAAAAAGCCTTTGCACAGCTAAAGAAACCATCAACAAAACAAAAAGGCAACTTACTGAATAAGTTGAATAGGAGAAAAGATTTATTGTGTATAACTTAATGTTTTTAAACAAACTCCTTTCACAAGCATGAGTAGGGTCTTATCAAGCTTTTATAATTGTTTTTAAACCAAAATAAGTTGATCTAATTGAAATAAAAGTGAGGAAAGAAATTATACTTGTTGCAGACCCCATTTTCAAAATGCTGACCCCTTCAGTAGAAGTTAACCAACTGAAAGGAATGTGGGATGTGAAGAGATAATTTTTTCCCTAGCATATCAGTAATTTCTGAGGTTAACATTTTTATTGCTCAATTTGACATTGTCTAGGAATATAATTGTGTGATTTTATAGCAGTTCTAAGAATGTTTTGCTGCACTGTGAAGAGAAATATATTACTTTAGGAATTAGGCACTAAACATGTCTAGAATTGGCTTAAGATATTTGGAATACTTTCAATATCCAGTTTTAAAATGTCTTTAAGGTGATTTGTACTAGTAAGCACTCAGCAAATACTGATGTGATACTGATGGAAGCAATAAGTAGATATCCTGAATGGATAGAATGTGAGAGTCTGTTTATGGGTCAGGTACATTGTGTTGAAATTAGATTGACCCCATGTGTACAGAGGGCCCTGCCTTTTAAAACCAAATAACTGAGACCTTTCAGTATCAATGAAAAATTAGAAAAGGAAATTAACTTACTCATATTTAGATCTTTTGTTAGTTTATATTTTGTAAAAAGTTACCTGCCTTATATTTTGTGAGGTTAAAATTCTAGAATAGTTTTCTGTTTAATCCAGTTTAGTCATCTTGCTTATCCAAAATAATGTGGCATGACTTTATTACTATTCCAATTTGCTACTACAGAAGGATTAGGGCTTATTAAAATAAAATGATGGAGTTGTGACCTTTACAAAGTAATATGTATGTAATACCTCAGAGCCAAACCTGGATTTAAAAAATAAGAAATAATTGTGAATGAAACAAAACCTGCAAATTACATTTTTTTTTGGGGGGGGGGTCCGCCATAGAGCTTTTGGGCTACACATGTACTGAATTTTGTGGGCTGTTATAAAGCCTGTCTCCTCCAAATCCATATGCCTGAAAAGACCACCATTAAGTTTTCTCAACAAATAGCCTTGATCATTCTAGTTTCTAGAACTTTGCTATCCAGTGTGGTAACTAGTGGTCACATATGTCTAAGTTTAAATTAATTTAAATAAAATAAAAAAACAATTCTTTTGTTGCAGTGGCTAGTGGCTACCATATTTGACAGCTCAAATAGAGAAGGTTTCTATCATTGCACAAAGTTCTTTTGTACAGCATTGCTCTGGATTGGGAGTGGGGATGGCAGTAGGGAGAGCCTTGATTCTTGGCTAGCTTCACAAATTGTTCTTAGATGTAAATGAGGGAAGCTAAAACTTGGTACTTAGTTCCTGAAAAGATAATGTGTTCATTACATGTTGCTTCTCTTACTCTCGTTACTGCTTTTTTGATGATTTGAAGTCACTGGACTTTGAAACAGCTTCATTGCCAACAAAGAAATATATACTTGCCATATAAAGGTTCTCAGCTTTTCTTTTCCATTGTTTTTTTCTTCCCACAGCTGCTGGGCATGCTGTGTGCATGCATCGTATTGTGCAGAAGGAGTAGAGATCCAGCCTATGAGCTCCTCATCACTGGCGGAACCTATGCATAATAGAAAACTCAAGCCTGAGCTTTTTAGTCTTGTTCTAATTTGGAAGGTGAATTGAGCAGGTCTACTGCTGTTGGCCTCCACAGTTTATTTAGTTTAAGCACACATGTCAGACAGAGCAGCTTGGTACTTCATATGCCCACTTACTTTCCTACCCATTTAAGACTTCCTTTTCCCCTGTTCTAACGGACTCTTCACATCCCCAAGTTTTTAAGTAAAGTGGTATATGTTCTAATTTCAGAGCTATTTGCAAGTTGTGTAGTGTGGTAGAATTAAAGGAGGATGTGGACTGCTTCTGTTACCTCCAGGCAGCAATGGGACTGCTGCTGAAGTACTACTGGGTCCTTGAAGTACCACAATGGACAACTATTGGCCAAACGTTTTTTTGGGGGGAAGGGGGGGTTAACATCAGATGGTGCCCCTCATCAGTGTCCTTTTAAAAACTATATACCATAGCCCAATAAGACAGCAACTATACAAAATGGCTAAAATAGATTTTAGAATTATACAATGTGTACCTTAGTTCATCTTCAAAATCAGATTGATCTTTGAAACTAGAGGTTTTTAATTAAAGCTGGCTTTATAGGAGGAGTATAAAGTATGCACTACTGTTTTAAAATAATTAGAGTGTGTGTGTGTGTGTGTGTGTGTGTGTGTGTATGTGTGTGTATGTGTTTGTATGATTGAGCCCATTCATTATAAGTCTAATTTTGTTAGAAATAATGTACCATGTAGACTAGCAAAATAGTATGTAGATGTGATCTCAGTTGTAAATAGAAAAATCTAATTCAATAAACTCTGTATTACCCCTTAACATGTAGTTATGTAGTTTTTAATTATTTGGGGGTATTTCAGTGATTTATATATTGGTGCCATCTACAGTTCATCATGATTTGCATGTGTTTTATTTATATCTCTTGCCAAATTCTAAAGGCCTTGGTATTCAAAATGCACAGATGCTTTTCAGTTTCATATATCTCACAAATATGGAGCATCTACTTGTGCATGGTGCTGGGAGTACAATGATTATGCTGTCCTTGCCTTCAAGGTATGTGGAGTCCTAGTATAGCAGACATACATAGAAGCAAATAATTTTCATACAATACAGTGATTGTAGTGACAAAAGAATGGAAACCTAAAGGAGGTGCCTAGGGAAGTCAGGGGCAACTTCCTAGAGAAGAGGTCCAAGCTCAGTAGCTGGATAGGCTTTGTGGGAGATGGTACCAGGAGTGTGAAGTGGGATGGAATGTACAGGGAGCTACCAGTAGCTCATTGTGCCTGGATCTTAAAATACAAGGCTGGAAAAAGAAGTTAAAGTGGCAAAGCCTGGGTCCTCTAGAGTCTTACATGACATCCTATGGAGAGTCAGACTTTACTTATGGGTGGAGGCAGTATGTGTGATATGAGTGGACCTGTTTTAGAGACCCCTGTGGCTATGGCTGTGGTGGGGAGGACAGATTGGAGGGGATATGACTAGGCTTCAGTGAGGTGGATTGGATGGTTCAGTAGAGAGCTGAAGAGCATGGTGTAGGGCACTATTGGAGCTAGTGAGGGGCTGGGTTTAGGGAATTTGAGGGAGAATGGCAGAATTTTATCATTGGTTGGATGTGGGGGAGAGAGGAAGGAGTGGAAGGAAGGTGTCTAGGATGAGTCCCAGGTTTCTGGTTCAGCCAACTAAGGAAACAGAATTAGTCACAGAGGTAGGGAGCAAGAAGGGACCACATCTAGGAGTTCAAATTCAGTTTGAACCTATCAGTTTTGAGATACTGGAATATCATGCAAGTCTGTCCTGCCTGAAAAATAGAGATGTGAGAAAGGAGAGGAGAACAAACTAACTCCTGTTCTAACTCCTGTTCACAAAGTGGAAGTTAAAACTTTCATGATTTCTGAGAACTATAGGAGATTTCATATGTTCCACTAACCCATCCCACCTCTTGCACAGTGGGTAAGAATGTTTTGCTTATCTTCATGATCTTTTACAGCCACCTTCTGCACCCAGCCCTGTTTCTTCCCCTCCCCCTTCCAGGTTTCATTATGTACCATTCCATGGCTACCCTCTCACAGGGTGGAGCTGAGGTGAGCAGTATCTGGACTGTGATGTTGATTTCCCTCAGTGATTTCTGCATGACAGAACTGAGCCTCTAGAGTAGGAAAGTGCTTTGGGAAAATGTGCCAATTGCTAGCTCACTCCTTGAACTTGTCCAAGAGACTAATTCCATACATCCCTCATTCACTGATTCCACTCTGCTTGCCTGGTGAAAGAGCAGCTTCCTCCCCTGTGCTCTGAAAGTTACACCTAAATAGACCATGTTATCAGTGAAGTCAAAAAAGATGGTTACTTTGGGACCTGTTAAACCATTCTAGTTTCTGCCAGCTTTAAGTTGTGCATAATTCCTAGCATAGTCCTGGAAATGTCTTTTTTCCTTTGTCTGGGAACCACTGAATGGGAATCTGTCCATGTTGGCCAGTTCCATACAAATTCAACTTCTGCCTGCTTAATGTCTCCAGAGTTTCTGCCATGCCATACAGAGCTAAGACTACAAGTCTTCATTATCCTGACACCCTGTCCCACAGTGCTTATTCTTCAGAGGGTAGAAGAGCTACTTGCTGTGTATGAATTTAATGATAGAGCTCTCCCACTGTGTCAGTGTTTCCCACCCTTGTCTGTACTTTGGAGTCATCTGGGAAACAGAACTGCAGACGTCTGGGTACTTCCAGAACGCAATGAAGGCTGAGAACCATTGCTATATCCTATTGCCTTTTTTAAAAGGTTAATTTTCTTTGGAAATAACTTCAAACTTACAGAAAAGTTGCAAGAATAAGAATTGTGTATATAAAGCTTGAATTTCTTTTTCTTAGATTCACCTATTAACATTTTGCCCCATTTGATTTTGTCATTTGTGATCTTACATGTGCTCTCAGTCTCTCTTTGTACAAACCTCATGGTGCTTTATCCCTACTATTTGAGTGGGTATTTCCTAAAAATAGTCTCTAACAACTATGGTATAGTAATTTAGTACATTTAACACTGATACAATACTTTACCCTTCCTATTCCAATTGATGTCATAAAGTCCTTTATAGCATTTTTTTTGCCTCCAGTTCTGGATTAGTTGTCATGTCTCTTTGTTCTTCTTTAATCTGGAGCATTTCCATAGTTTTGTCCCTTATGACAGACCAAGATTTTCAACCTTTTTTATCTCATAGCACACATAAACTAATTACTAAAATTCTGTGGCACACCAAAAAATATACTATAAAAATAGGTATAATTTGGATTCATTCATACCAGATGGCTATTGTATTGGCTGTTGTCATTTTTTATTTGACAATTAAGGGAAAAGAGGTAAATGCCCTTGACTAAATAATCAGGTATTGCATATTTTAAAAATTCTTATGGCACAGCAATTAAAAATAGCTGAGGTAGACATTTGGGAAGAACATAGTCCCTTATTTTAAATAAAACATACTTGGGGATTATCTCCTCTAATTGGATTAGATTAGGATTTGCATTCCAGGTGGCTGGAATACTGTCTGTGACCCATCCACTTGGGGCAGGCATCAGTCACATCAGGAGATTACAGTGTTATCTGCCCTTCATGGTGCTGTTAATTTACATAACCTTGGTATATCATTGAGGGTCCAGTAAGGGGAAAATATTAATACAAGTATATTGTTAACTGCATAAAGATTGGTTAGCTACTGAAAGGGGTAAAAAAAAACCAAAACTAAAAACCTCTAAAGCAGCTTAGAGGTTTAGTAGAAAACAGCAACCACCCTGAGGGTCAAGGGAACAGAGGGCTAGTAAGGAACTTGGAAACTCAAAGGGAAAGGGCGAGGGCTACGCCCTCCATCTTGCCCCAGGGTAAGGGCTACGCCCTCCATCTTGCCCCAGGGTAAGTGCTCCATCTTACCTTGGCCATG